GCAGAGAAACACACCTGATGCTGACAGTGTGTGCAGGTGTGTGAGCCTGGAGCTCAGTGTGTTCACTCCAACACGTGAACATGAAGCTGCTGCTCTGAACAGGACTCAAGTCCTGCTGCTCTTCATCCTGATGAGCTGCTGATCAAACTCATTCATCTCCTCTGTTCTTTCTTCTTCTCTCTGCAGCTGGGAGTCATGATGCTGATCAGGACTGTGTTTGTGCTGAGAGGATGAACTGTGTCCTGAAGGTCCAGATGTTGAACCGTCATCAGCAGCTGCTGTGTCCAGACTCTGACTGGGCCATGTTCCTGGGAGGTGGAGAGCTTCATGCAGCAGTGACTGACAGGAATCACAGGTGGAGATGAGTGTCAGTGCTGCAGTGTGAACTGCTCTGAGAACAGCTGCAGCGTCAGTCACCAGGTGGAGTCCAGCATGATGGAATGATGGAGAACTGCAGTTGTTGTTGACGTTTTACCTTTCCGATGTGCAGAGTTTCCTGTCTGTCCAGGGTTATATTTCTGTTTGCTTTCTATTCACAGTTCTAATTATTCAGCCCCTCTACCTGCACAACATTCAGGTGATTCCAGCTAAAGCCTTGGCAAACAAAAGCACTTGTTAGATGTTAATCTCACTAATTACCCTCAGTATACACTTTTCTCCACATCGGTCCAGGAGCATTATTGTTTGTTACAGAGTTGATATTTACTCAGAACATTATTTGACATTTTAGAGCTCCAGTAAGTGTTTGTAGTTGTGGGACTGAACAACATGCGACAGAAATCATGGTGGTGTTATTGTGACAGGTATTATGATTGAGGTATGAGTCACTGTTTTATTGGGAATAATCATTTTTTCATTTTCTTTCGCTGAAAAAAATACTGAAATGATGATCAGATTTTTCCTGCGTCCTCTACCAAACACATGTTCCTTTAAATATATGATTTGTAGCGCTGCGGCACTTCATGTGTAATAGTAACTAACTGCTGCTCCTGTCATCTGGATGTTGCACGTGTTCAGCCCTGTCAGGTTGTTTTCTGTTTTTAAATATCAGCTTGTTCCTCGTGTGCTGAAGCTTCCAGTTTACTGATATTGTTTGGTGTCTGAGCTGCTGCTGCTTTCTGTAAATCCCCCCAAAGATTTGTAAATCCAGGACTGAGACGCCTCCTCCAGGACTTTCCTCGAACGACTCCAGCAATGTTTTTCCTCTAACCCAGCTGGTGTTTCAAAGAATCCATGACGCTGCTCAAACAATCAGCAGTGTAGCAGCGTCTGCGGCAGCAAAACCTTCTCAACAGGAGCGTCAGGATGCTGTCCTTCTGACTGCTGACGAAACGCTGATCCACAAGTCCAAACATGTCAAGGTTAGACTCGCAGAACTCGACAGGCACATCCACGTTCAAATCAACTTTTAGGAGCTCTCTGGTCAAGATCGGAGGTTCTTCCTGCAGCTGTTTGTTAGAGTCGTATCTAGAACGTCAGGGTTTCTTTGCCCTGTGCTCAGACTCAGAGGCTCATTCATTCTGGCTGCGTGCCGCTCTGCTGCTCTATACCTCAGTAGTTATGCCTCCTGTGAGCCATCAGGTGGCGCTATTCTCCAGAGGCTTTGAGGGCACACCACACTGTAGAGTATATGTCAACAAGTTACATTTGCTGAGTTTGTGGGTCGCTGAGCAAAAACTTTCATGATGCCTTGCAGGCGGCACAACACAACATTTGTCTGACACAACTCAACATAATTCAATAAAGTGTGTTGTGCAACAGCTTGGGGATCTTTTATGATTCAAAACAAGATTAGAAAGGGCCGGGGTGGGATTATTGCTGCCGTGTGTCTGTTTACATCTGGAGGAGGATTCATACCGACCAGCCTGCAGCTTCATCTCATGTGTTTTACAGCGTTTAGTTTCAAACCAGAGTGCTGTACGATGTACACTAGGAAACCTTATGACAGTAAAACACGATGACTGAGTGAAAAATACGATACACAACAGATTCATTTGAGCATTTATTATGTCATCAAAAACCTGTGCAGGATGTAAAAGAAAATAATGGTCTTGTGCAGTATGTTGTAAAAACGACTACCTAATGCTAAAGTATAGCGTGTTAACAAAATTACTTAGCGTATATGTCCCAAAAAAAAAAAGGTCAAAGTCTAGCATGTTGTGGAAACATATGAAGTAAAAATCTTGTTGTATATGTGGATGCTGGACTCCACCTGAATCAAACTGATTCATCTTGATGCCATCTGACTAAAGAATCTGAACCCAATATGTTCTGTAGCAAAGTTCACTCTTGCAGTTTTGTACCGACCGATGGGATGGGGTGTTTTTCTTCCATGCCATCCACAGGGGGCGACATTATTCACGTCCTGTAAACTGTCTGAGCTTTACAGAAACGCTGATGTCCGTTGATAACTAATGTGCCAAGTCTGAAGCAGCTGCCCATCTGGTTCTTCGCAGACAGACAGTGAAGGTAGCGCTTTGTCCGTGAGACGACCACTGCAGCTCTGATTTGTGGTGCCTCCTTCTACACCTCCTGATTACTGCTGCTGCTGAGCTTCCACTGATTGTTCGCTGATCTATGTCCTTTTCCATCAGAAATTTCAGGGACAGGAAGATGAGGCAAAGACAATAAATATGAATTCTATGACAGTTGACTTCATGGGCTTTGAATAAACCCGGAGTTGGGAAACCTCTCCCACCTTCTTTGCAGGAGTTCAGTTTGCGTCTAGCGGGACTCTGTAGGGTTCACAACGGTGCCGTTTACCATTGGCAGAGAGCTGACGGGGCTGAGAACTGGGTTCACCTGTGCTGCTCCGCTTCTAAAACGAACACAGAATACGTCAGGGTGTGCTGCAGTTGTGTAGAATGGAGGCATCACGTCTTAAATGGAGAGCATCTCATCTGACATCTGAGGACACTTCTGCACTCTGACTTGTAAACCTCATTTCACTGAGTGTCAATGAAAATAAGCGCTCGCACAGCAAAGGCAACGCTGCAGGTGTTTTAAATGCATCCAAGTGTTAAACCAGAACCACAGCTGAAGATATGTCGACATGCGGTCGCTGTCACTGAGACCGTTCTTTACGTACCTCACTTTGCGCCGGCACTTGAACATTCTCTGTCGGTGTGGATCTGTCGGTGTCGTTTTAGGGCGTTTGATGTTTTAAAAGTCTTCTCACACTGGTCACATTGGTATGGTCTCTCCCCAGTGTGGTTCCGCTGGTGGACAATCAGGCCACAGATGGAGCTGTAGGTTTTCTCACACTGGTCACAGCGATGCGGTTTCTCTCCAGTGTGTGTACCTTCATGGGCTTTAAATTCTGAGTACTTTGTGAAGACTTTGCAACACTGGACGCAGCAGTACACATCCTGGCCGGTGTGCAGCCGTCGGTGTGTCTTCAGGGTGTACTGCTGCTTGAATGTTTTTTCACACAGGTCGCAGCGGTATGGCTCGCTGTCTGTGTGATTGCGCTGATGGATAATCAAGCTTCTCTTTTCAGTGAAGGTTTTTCCACACTCATCACACCTGTGCGCTTTAACTCCGCTGTGGACGACGTGGTGCTTTTTCAAGCTACTCCTGACAGCAAACGTCTTCCCGCACTCGTCACACCTGTGTGGTTTTACTCCGCTGTGGATGAGCTGATGTGTTTTTAAGGTGCTCATCTGAGTGAAGGCTTTTCCACACTGATCACACCTGTGGGCTTTGACTCCACTGTGGATGATCTGATGGGCTCTTAAATGACCCATCAGAGTGAACGTCTTCCCACACTGCTCACACCGGTGGGCTCTGACTCCACTGTGGAACAGCTGGTGTGTTTTTAAGTTACTCAGCTGAGTAAAAGTCTTCCCACACTGATCACACCTGTGGGCTTTAACTCCACTGTGGATGAGTTTATGTATGTTTAAGTTGCCCGTCTGAGTAAAAGTCTTCCCACACTGATCACAACAGAGCGATCTGAATCCTCTTGGAGTTCTTGGGGGAGCGCCGTCGTCCTGCACTTCGTTCTTGCTTTCGTGTTGCTGTCGTGACAAAGGTACAGAGGTGGTGAGTTAAATGTAAATAAAACCAGCATGTCTCCTGATTAAACCTGAGGTTAAAACATCAAGAATCTGCAGACATGTTGGCGGCTCCGTGAGGCTGTGATCGACACAAACGCTAACATTAGCATGCTAACACGCTTATAATGTTTCCTAGGACTGTCTGAAATCCCTCCTCACTATCTAAGAACTACTACAAAGTGAACTACGTAGAGAGAACTAATATATTCAGACTCTACTTGAGACTCGGTGCTGTTGCTCAGTTAAAACTTATCAGATCGATGCTGGAGATGGTAACGAACCGACAGGCTTTTTTGTGATAAATTCATATTATTCTAAGCATATTTTCCAAAATTAAGAAATAAAACAACTTTTTTTCTTTGTTTGTGATGCGATACATCGCTCTGCTTCCACTAAACATATCAATACAAATTAATATTTTTAATTTTAATATTGTGGTGCCATAACTCCTGGATTTGCATTGTGGGATACTTGGAGGGACTATATAATATATAACAATTGTAACCTATCATTCAGACAGAACTACAAAATGGTGAACACACTATTTAATGTGTAGTGACTGATTTTGGACATTTTCTATATTCTCCATTTTGGCCTCAGCCTATTTGGATGGCAACGTTCATTAACTGCCACTAAACACAAAGCAGAGCAGCGGCTGATCAAACAGTCGTCGCACCAGGATTTTTTGATCCCCAGACTTTAAAACAGCGTGCCAATGTACCATCTGCACAGCATTCGACGAGCTTTCATATTAAAACCTCTGTTCAGAGAAAATAAAAAGGTCCTGCAAAATCCTTAAATGTGATGCGACACTCAGACATCAGCACTAGGAAACAGTTGTTTTAAGAAGCCCTCATTCTGATTTGGAGCGTCTGTCTCTTTCCTTCAGAGCTGCATGTAAAAGGTCGGCACACTTCGGACGCCACTCCAGAGAGATGAACACGTTTTAATAGACGCCAAAAGTTCAGCTATCAACCTGAAAGTGTGCAGAACACACTGAAGAAACTAAACATATTTTAAACAATAATGTTACTGGGAAACGTTTCTTACCTTTTGTGTAGAATCCATATGTCCTCTATCGTGGCTCAGTTAAAACAACTGACAGCGTTCCTCGGCTCCGTTCCTCCTCCTGGAGATCAGCTGTGACTAAAAAAAAAAAAAAAGTATATATGTGAGGCTGCTGCTCTTCACTCAGCTGTCAAAGTGTCTGTGATGTTTATCAGCCAACACAAAGCACAGATCTGAGCTCAATGTCTGAGTTTCAGTTTGATGTAGTTTGACTTGCAACTGAACCAAAGAAACACTCCAGGACTAATGGTAAATACACCAACCCCTCCCCGTACAACATCTTGTGCTAATGAGTCATACCAGCCACGTTTTGTGTAGCTTTGTTGTGTTTATTCTTGCATGTCAATAGACAGCAGCAGGACAATGAGACATATTCTGACCTTGACAGTGCAGCAGCTGCTCTCCACTGCTGTTCTGATCCACTTCCTGTCACTTGAAAACTAACAAAGTGAGAAGAGGCTGCAGACGTCTGGTGGATGCGCTGGAACAGAACCTAAACTGTCAAACGGAGCACTGGCTTGGCTTCTGTTGGAAAACGATGCACAGACAAAAAATACATGAAAAACCTACGGCTTTGTTGGAACAAAACAAACAAAAATTGGTCATTATGGAGCCAAAACAATAACAGGAAGTTCAATCTGAAAACCAATGATGCTGAAATGACAACAACAAATTCCTTTTATTAAAAAAAAAAAGAAGATTGTGATTGGGAATGAAAAAATCCAAATGAGATAATTCGCAGGTTCACTGCCATAAAAAGTAATCATTTATTTTAAAAGAATAAATAAGAATTGTCAGTTTTCCAAGCGAATTAAATTCGTTTGTACGTCTGCATCTGTCACCACTACAAGTGTTTCGGTACCAGTGGTTCTGTTTGCGCTTCGGGTTCTGTTTTTAGCTCCAGACTTTATTTTCAGGACACAAGTTCGCTGTCCACATGAAAACCAGTCAGCGCAGGTAGACCCCGGAAGTACCAGACGAACGACGCGTTTCTGTCCAGGTGACAGAAATGTCGTCTCGTATACGGAGAATTCGCAGCGTGTCGATCAGCAGTTCGTGTGAACTCTGCTCAGACTGGTTTTCCGTCGCGGTGAACACAGCGAGCCTCTGGCCGGAGCTCAGGAAGAGCAGCGGAAGCTCAACCGGACGTTAGCCGACCTGCGGCTAACGTTAGCTCGGTGGTTACCTTCGGACGAGGCCGGGACACGGACCGAGAGCAGCTCCGGAAACCAATTTCAACTCTTTAAACTGATTCGCTCCTTTGTTTAACTTTAACTTATCTCCCCACGTGACGTTAATATTACTACAAAAACTACACGAATTACTACAACCGCGGCTCCTCGGGCTGCCGGTTCTTCTTCTTCTCCGCCTGTTCGCCGGTTGTCGCCGCGACACCGCCCCCTGCCGGTCGAACCACGACTTGTAGAAATTCTTATGTGAACGTTGTTGTTCTAACAAACTTCCTAAAAAGCCCTTTATTCTGCTTTATTTACTAGATATGATCTGTAATTCAACAGAACAAGGCGCGTCTGTAAAATAACCGCTTAAGCCTTTATCAGAATCAGATTTGTTGCCAAGTATAGTTCACACAGTAGGAGGAATTCGCTCTGGTGGGTTGGTGCAACAATACATATAGAGGAAGGTACAAGATAAAAATAGATTAAAAAAATATAGTAACTTAAAATAGCTGTAGTAGTGCAAAGCAGACGCAGAAATTGTGAAGAGTTAAAGTTAAATTTAAATACGAACCATAAAACTGCAGTATGATTTACAAGAATATTGAGGGTGCAGATATGTTGATATTTACATTTATACAGATGATCACAACAGGGCTCTCCTTGAAATGCTTGGAAAATGAACATTTCAACCCTAAACTGTGCTACTGAAGGAGATTTCAAGATATTTTTTTACTTTTGTGACTTTAAAAGAAAAAAAAAGTTGCAAATCAAGATTAATAATCCATCTATGGGTTAAAAATAAATAAATAAAAAAAATAAAAGTAAAGTAACAAACTGCAAAAAAAACGTTTATTTGGAAGCTTTTTTTAGTTTGAGGTAATGATTCTTACGCAAACAGTAACAACGCGTTTGTAACGTGCCTGGAACATTTGTTTGGTGACGTTTTTCTTGGGGTAGTGGTATCGGCACTAATATTAAACCTAAATCAAAGGTCACGTGGTTCTTCAGCCTGAGGCGCAGCACAGGGTGGACATACTGAAGGTCCAAGGAAGTTACAGCACATGGGCACTTGCTCCATAAAGGGTTCACATTTACACCCAGTTCTTCACCATTTTGGTGGGCATTTTATGAGCTGGACTGGTTCTTTAAAGCAACTTCGACTGGTTTAAAGAATGAAACGTAATTGTTTTAGTGGATGACAGTCATTTTTTATTTTTTGGCACAACACCTGTCCACAAAAGCAATTAACCTGCATTGTTTTACCTCCATAATTTAAGATGTCCTTTAATGCCTGGCTGTGTGGGAACACTTTATTTTGATGTACACACTTTTAGACGGATATATTCAGTGTCTTTTTTACTGCTTGGTAAAAACACACTCAGTTGTTTTTATCAGTTATTTGCACGTTACGACTATTTGATCCACATAAAAGGTACTGAAACTTGGCACTGATCTTTTATTATTATTATTATTATTATCCAAAGAACTCCTTTACCTTTGAGGTCAATTTATGGTTCTTGCGCTACACAGGCGACAGTACGCATGCTCTATAGGTACGACCGACTGCGCATGTGTGGAGCGCACAGCCTGGAGCCTACTCGTCGGACTGAGACTCTCTGCTGTCCAATCTGCGTCTGTGCACACTTTCCCGGCGGACTGTCAACGCAGTCCGTGTGGACAGTGGTGACGAACGGTCGTCGCGCAGGAAGCACACAAAGTCCGCAGGAGGAAACGCGAGGAGAAGTTCATCTCATCTGTAGGAGGAAGCAGCTGTTGGAGTTTGCAGAGCTGTTTGTGTTTTCAGGGTTTACAGATGTTCAGGACTTTTGCTAGTTTGCTGTAAGTGCACAAACACTTTGATGTCACGAGCAGGGAGAGATCAGCTGATTTGTTTGATTCAGAGGCTGTTTCCCATCCCTCCTCTTCACACCCTACCAAGTCCTGCCATGCCACCGGTGTAGTGTTCAGGCTTTAGGGTGGAGACCGGGGCTGGACCTGAAAGTCAGCTGACACTCCATTTTCAGTCTACAGAGCAGAGAGAGGGGAGCTGGAGGCTGAGGCAGGGTGAGTGTGAGCACAACACTTTCTTATTTTACTGCCAGAGCGTCTGAGTCAATTTATCACTTTGATTTATGAGAAGTTGTGATTGACTGAAAAATGAACGACAAACTTTCTGTTGAGGTAAACACAGCTGAACAGGTTGTAACAGGCCGCAGTGTGTGACGTTGTTCCTGTCAGCCATGTGTGTGACTGTTGAACAAACTACACTGTAAAAAAAAACATCTGTTCAAGAAACTGTGGGATATGGTAGAAAACTGAAAATAACCAGTTTGCTGATTTAAATACAGCAAAACTAAATTTATGTTACTGATCACTATTTGTAAAAATGCAATTGTTTTATGTAGAAATGACTCACAGTGGTGCAAGGTGGCTCTGTGGTTAGCACTGTCGCCTCACAGCTAGAAGGTCGCCGGTTCGTGTCCCGGTGAGGGATCTTTCTGAGTGGAGTCTCCATGTTTCCCCCTCACACACAAAACACACACCACCAGAACTATGTAGACACAGTCTTTCCACCAGAAGGATAAAGCAGTGAATGTCCTCATCACTGTCTTTATCGATTAGGCTGCCACTTCTGCTGCGGAAAGAACACCAGGCTGGATCCAAACAGAACATCTTTTACTGCTATCTGCATCTTTTTCAGCTTCTAGACATTTTTTCTTCAATAGTCTGTGAATGATTTTTAACTGTGTGGCAATGTGTTGACAGCGTGATGAAGAGAAGTGGAGGTTCTGAGGAGGAGCAGCCGTCCTGCTGTGCTTTGTGTCAGGACGTCCTGAAGGATCCGGTCTCTAGCAGCTGTGGACACTGGTTCTGCAGATGCTGCATCACCTCATACTGGGACCAGTCTGCTCCATCAGGACACTCCTCCTGTCCTCAGTGTGGAGAAAGATCCAGAACTGGTCAGAGCAGCTGTGCACAAAGTAAGACTGAACATCTGTCTGCTGATGGACTCCTAAAAACAGGGCTGTCCGTCTTATAACAGCGATATTTGTTTTTGTCACAGGGACAATTTCATACTATTCTAAATAATATATGTTTAAAAGCATTTGCTTATTCAAGGGATGCACAATATTTTTATTGGTTGTTAAAATATTAGCCAAAGAAAAAAACAACTGTGGATGAGTTTATGTATGTTTACCGTCCGCACAGCACAAGCAGCTGTTAGGAGTTGTGGTGAAGGTCACTAGTGCCTGTCGTGGTGTGGACAACAGTAGTAGAGGAGGCCGTCTGAAAGGACTTTCAGTTGGCCTTGGGGAGGTTCTGGAAAACCATTCAACGCCTCAGGATGGGGTGGCAGGGCTTGGACCAGACTGTACAGCCAGGGGGGAGAACGCTGACCTGGACTGTGGACATTGTCAGAGGAGGGACTCTTTGAGGAACACCTTCCTCCACCGGGATGCTGAAGGCTCCGGACATTGTTGGACTGTCTTGGCTGACACATTTCTTCTGTGTCTAATGGGCATCCAGTACGGTGCCTGTTGAGCGGCAGACCGGGTGATGGTTCGCATTTTTAAAATGGGGAACCGGAGAGTGTGTTCCAGTTATCGGGATATCACACTTCTCCATGGGAAAATTTACTCCAGGATGCTGGAAGGGAGGCTCTGACTGATTGTTGAACCCTTTCGAGTTGTTGAGAGGGTCATAGAAGTTTGACCGTCTATTCCACGTGTTTTGTGGACCTGGAGAAACCCTACGACCAGGTCGGCCCCCTGTTGGGGAAATGTGGGACTATGGGATACCGAAGCCTTTGGTCTGTACCATCTGGTCCTTGTACAGCCAAAGTGAGAGCTGTGTTTGTACTATAAGCACAAAGTCTAACAAGTGTCTGGTGGGTGTAGGACCCCTTGTCTCTAATACAGTTTGTGACTTTCATGGACAAGATCTCAAAGCGCTGCCAAAGTGAGGAGGGTGTCCAGTTTGGAAACCTCAGATACACATTTTTGCTTTTTGTGGATGACATGGCTCTGTTGGCTTCCTCAGATCATGACCTTCAGCACTCACTTGCAGCTACGTGCGAAGTCACTGAGATGAGAGTCAGAACCTCCAAGTCTGAGGCCTTGGTTCTCTGCTGGATACCGATGGATTGCTTCCTCCAGGTTTGGGGGGAGTTGCTGCCCCATACGAAGGAGTTCCACTATCTAGGAATCTTGTTCTTAACAGACTGATTATTCCATCATCAGCAGTAATCCGGGCATTGTCCCAGATTGTAGTGGTGAAGAGGAAACTGAGCCAGAAGGCAAGGCTCTGGATTTACAAGTCCATCTACATCCACCTTCACCAACCCTCACCGATGGTCATGAGCTCTGGGTAGTGACCGAAAGAATGAGGATGTAGATACAAGTGGCCGAAATGTGTTTCCTTTGTAGGGAGGCTTGGTTCAGCCTTAGAGATTCAGCATTAACAGTATATAAAGTTAATTGCATGTTGTGGTAGTCTGTATTTTCTTGCAAGTATGAAAATAAGGTCTAGTATTAATTAGTCTACAAATTAAAAATGAACCACGGTTATTACAAACGAGATCAGATTCCATTCATGTAATATCAATACTACAGATCTTGAGGGCTTTTTCTCCAGGTTCTCATTCTCCATTAAGTCTGACAGTTTGTCTTGTCTTTCATCAGATGTTGGTCTGCAGGAGGTTTTACAGGAACACAAGATGAGTCTGAGGAGGAGATGTGAACATGTGACTGAAGGAAGTGATGCAACAGGAGGTGGAACCCTCCTCAACAGGATCTACACTGAGCTCTACATCACAGAGGGAGCCAGTGAAGAGGCTGATACCCAACATGAGGTGATGCAGCTGGAGACAGCTTCCAAGAAGACCCTCCATGAAACTCCCATCGAGTGCCAGGACATCTTTAAAACCTTCCCTGAGCAGCAGAGAGCCATCAGAGTGGTCCTGACCAACGGCGTCGCTGGCGTGGGAAAAACTTTCTTAGTGCGGAAGTTCAGTCTGGACTGGGCAGAGGGCCGAGAAAACCAGGACGTCAGTGTGGTGGTTGTGCTTCCGTTCAGGGAGCTGAACTTGATCAGAGATGAGCAGCACAGTCTTCTGACGCTGCTCCATGTGTTCCATCCAGCATTACAGAAGGTGACAGCAGAGGAGCTGGCTGTCTGTAAGCTTCTGTTCATCTTTG